GCTCAATGACAAACCACGCCAGGAAGCTGAAGATGAGGTAGTCGACGGACCCGGCGGCCGCGAGGATTCGAGCTCTGCCCCCTATTGTCAGTACTTGGTACAAAATTGAGTCATGTTGAACCCACAAAAGTTCGTTGAGGTTGATGGCGTGGATGAAGATATATCTGTCGCCGATCAGCATTCTACCAAGACGAACAACAAGAGACTGACGTTTGGAAATAACTCGTCACATTGATGCCGCTGACCTGATTTGATGCCTGCATCCAGGCGCCGAGGATCATTCTACGGACGACTCCTGAAGGTCCGCGGCCGGTGAGAAGCTGCCACCAGGTGTAGGTCTGGGCGTGTTCTTTTTCCAGGACATCTTTGATGATATTGTACTGTGTACGCACCGACGGCGAGTCGACCGTAGCTCCATGTCCTTCGAGGGCGGCGAGCACTTCTAGTGCTTCTTGATGCTTGCCTTTGCGCATCAAAAGACGGGGAGAATCCGGCAAGAAAGGACACATCAACCATATCAACAAGGTGAAGACTGTTCATCGGGTTAGTTGCCAGCGGATCACCGCAAACGAGCCTTGCCGGAGGACAGAATTGGGAAACTCACAGCATTGAAAGGCCAGGGGAAATCGCCAGGCAACTGAACTTTTGGCGAACGAGAATCCAAGAGTGAGCCAGTTTGACAAGCAAAAGCCAGTGATACAATTGGCCATCTGGATGATGACAAGCTTGCCACGGCTATGCATCTTACTGGTCTCCGACTGCCAGACCCCAGCAGTGGCAGTGTTCATGCCTGTTCCAAGCCCGGCGATCACCCTGCCAGCATACATTTGCCCCCTTGAATAGCAAGCGGACTGGATGATTGCGCCTATGGCGATGACGGAGCTCCCAAGCATAATGGTGCGCGGGCGACCGAGCTTGTCTCCTGTATACAATGTCGACAGCGCGCCCCCGAAGCAGCCGAGATTATAAACAGACGTGAGCGTTCCCTGGACAGTTGCGCTTGGATTACCCATCGTCCGGAGGAAATCCTCTCCCACAAGGCTACCTATAGATGAGTTTCTCGTGGACGCTGAGCCATAACATGGAATCACTTACACGTTGCCAAACACGCCCTGGACAACGGAAAGATACCATTAGCGAAAGCGGAAGCCAGAAGAACCAAGAGCGTACCTGATCATAGCCATAGAAGATGAGGACAGTCGATGCAGCTAGCGAGATCCAGACAGTCAGGGCGGTCCCCGAGCCTCCTAGGTATTTGCGGCCCATTGTGACACCTGACACTCAACAAGGTCGTTGTCTTTCAGCGTTGGATGGATTCTGCAGAAAGATAGTCACGCGGAAGAGCCGCCAGCGACGAGTGGTCTCCCTGAGTCAGGAACCCACGATTTTATATGCTCCTATTACGCCACATCCTGAGCGCTGATCGCCCACTGATCGGCCGAAAGACGCCCTGTGCGATTCCATCGTTCGGCAAAGAGGACGGCGAAAAACGTATCTGCTAAATAGCAGAATTTTTCCAATAGCCTATGATCACGACGGATCACGGTCAATGGAATCCATCTCCAGCTCCACTTCGGGGTACCGTTAACAGTAATATCAAACGCCGACACCGTTGTGATTGGGTCTTCATGGATGATCGACCCTCCACGCGGGGGTGGGTTCGTCGCCTAATCCAGTTGTTGGCCTTGGATTGCCTGTCCATGGCTGGTCTTGCAGCAATGTTGGGCCCCCGGACGCTGGGGTGGTGAGACTGAAGCAGGCGGTCTCTTTGATTGTCCCACACATGCCCAGCTCCGCATCACCGAGCTTCACATGTGATCATGTTTCAACAGCAGGGAGGCTCTTGGTAGCATATGCATTGTGCGTCGTGAAGACCGGGTGGCGCTTGTGTTATCGCGACATCGAGACAAGGGGCCCTTTGACTTGCTGCTCCGACATTGATATTGGGGAACCAGTATTCTCGGTACATAGTGGCACTTCTTTTCCCCTTCTCTTCGACGCGGCACACCGATCGGAAAGAAAATCCAGCCATAAACTTTTGGCACAGAGGGATTGGCGAGAGGGTGACGTTGGTTACATTGTTGGCGGGACCGCGACCAAAGTGTGTCCTTGAGACATGGAAGGATCTTCAGAGAGACGCACTTTGAAGGGAATAGCCTCGCGGTTCTGCAGAGTTCGAAATAGCAGAGTCAGAAAGCGCGCATGATGTCGGACATGTTCGGCCAGTGGCGCCGTGGGGAAAAGGGGAAGGGCGGAAACAAGACCGAGGACGAACAAGGGCGTCGCATCGCGTTGAAGGCCCAAAAGGGATCGAAAGGCTGCCAAGGGGCTGAAGAATTTAGGCTGAATTGATCTGAACATTTGCTACGAAATCCGAAATTTGTCCACGTACGGACCAACTTGTCTATTCGTGGGGCTTTCCCCAAGTAAACACACGCAACCACATGCAACAGCAGAAGACGCATTGCATAAAGCTCTCCGCCCACCAACGCAAGCCACGCGACGAGGCTGCGCAGGGCTGTTATACTATTCAACGCAACAGAGAAATACCCTCATATAATCGTGGGACACAACTTGGTAGCCCAGGTTAGGGCCATACAAGGAGCTTTCTAATGATGATCAAGGTCTCTTCCTAAATGTGAAAAAGTATGTCCACAGCCTGGCGCATGCTAGGCCCATTACGTTGTGTATATATACGAAACGTTTGACGCTCGTGCTGGCATTCGACCGCAATCGCGCCCAAACGCAAGGATAGACACCCGCTTTCGACCAGGAAAGTCAGTGGGGGAGTCCAGACACCTAGCAACAAATGAGACCGCCGCCAACCTCAAGCATGCCCAAGTGTCTCAGAGCTTGCGTTCCCGGACATGCACCCACAATCCACTTTGCAGGAAAATGCCGTAGTTGACATCATTGTCGAGAGGGTGCATGGGATTGACGAGTTCGAAATCAAAGCGCCTCATCAGCTCGAACAGGACCTTGTGCAGCTCTATGCGCGCGATCCTCTCGCCCAGACACCGGAACGACCCGTACCCAAAGACCAGGTCGTGGGCCTTTTCCATCCTCGCGAGCCGTTCGGGACTCGCTTCGAGCCATCTCTCCGGTCGAAAGATGTCGGCGTCGTCCCCGTACGCGTCGAAGTTGAGGCGGTGGAGCTTCCAGGTGCAGACGGTGATGACCGTTCCTGGGGGAATGTACATTCCGTCGTGGGTGTCGCCTTGTGGAGGCACGACTCGAGGGCCATGTCCCGAAGCGGCCGGGTGGTAACGAAGTGCTTCTTGGATGACCGCTATCAGGTAGGGTAGTTGTAATGCACGTTCGTTGGTGATGATCTCCTTCTCAGGCACGTTGGCGGCATCACACTCGCGCTGGAGCGCTCGATAGATGCGTGGGTTGGAGATGATGTAGATCAAGGCGATGCGAAGGATGGTGGCCGTCGTGTCGGATCCCGCCATGATCTGCAGCATAGATTCATCTTCGATCTCCCCCTGTGACAGACCGTGCTTGACGAAGCTCAGGACCATGTCCTCCCTGCCTTCTTCTTTCCCCTCGGAAAACCGTCGAGATATCTTCTCTCTCACGACCGCCTTTAATCTGCCCATTCCGATGCGGTCTTTCACCGACGGTGCGAGAGCCCGCTGGACTGAGGGGATGCGCATGAGCCTGCTGAGGATGGGGACCGCCGACATGAATGTCATGGCCGGGAAGTTGTCTGTCATGGTTTTGATGTATTCGTAGAGATCTTCGTCCTTGTCCAGAAACCCCAGAGGCTCTCCGAGGGATAGTGTCGAAATGATGTCGAGAGTGAGATACTGCATCATCCTGGCCAGGTCCATCCGCCGAGGATTGGAGCCACGGGCGATATATTTGTCCTTCCACAGCTTGAACAACTTCCACAGAGCACGATCCATGTCTGACTCGAGGTGCGCATTCTCCTTGCCGGAATAACCAGCCGTCACTCTCTTTCTCATGTAGGAGAGAGCCTCGGGTTCGGTGGTGCTGAGGACATTCTCCCGGTCGGCATCGAAGCGAAATGCCTTGTAGTAGTCCGACTTGACATAACCCGAGCGTATCGAGTTGATTTTCCGGAAGAGCTCCTCGTCGCAGGTGACGAGCGTGTTTGGACCTATCCGTGCAATACTACCATACTTGGTGCATACCTCCGACAGAGCTATATGTGCTCTGCCGCTAAGGGAGGCGCGTAAGTACCAGATGTTGGACCATGCTGCAGACCAAGGTCCGTTGAACCTCCTCAGCCGCCGATAAGAACGGATCGAGCTGTACGTGTAGAAAATGACCAGGAACAAGAAGAATCTAGTCAGCCAGATGTGCAACGCCATCTGAATGGGGGTTGGAATAAGGCAGACGCGGGATGGAGTGGATAATCTCGTAGAGTTTCAAATCAACGAGGTTCGAGGAAAGGGATTCGACCCCTCAACGAGAATTGTAAATACGTTGACCTCGGTGCATCGCCAGGTCGCTAAGTGAAATGACGCTTTGGCGAGGCATGACAGTTGAGACCTCCCTACATAGCGAGTACTAGCTGCTTAAGATCGTCTTTGGAAATGATAAGATAATAGGCACCTACTTGTCACTCATGTACGCGGGACACCCACCGACAGGTACGACAAACTCACCAAGAAGATTAGGACGACGATTATTACGATTATTATCGGTCTTTTGAATTGACAGGCCCGTCGCTAGTCATCAGTCACTAATGCATCGGGTCCGACTCCCCCGAACAACTCCGTAGACCCTCGGAGAGGCCCGCGTACGCCCGGCTTAGCTTGCCCGTAACGAGCACTTCAGTGTCCACACAGGTCTGCCACGTCCTTCTGTCCAGGCAGTTTTGGTCATGTGTTCAACAGGTCCGAGCTCTTGATCTGCATGACGACTATCTGGTGTCTGGTCTCGAGCGGGGAGTAAGTAGACTGCCTATTGTTCCACCTCACAAGGGTCACACAAACCCACCCCCGGATTCCCTCCACCAGCCATTCACCATGGCCGATGAGCAGCAGATTGATCCAGATAACGACCATGTTGAAGCGGTACGAGTAGCTGCCTCCATTCCCATGAATATTATGCGAGACTATGCTGACTTTTCTTCCACCAGGAGGAGCAGGACGTTGACTCTGCGCTGGGGGACGACATGTCAACGTTGACCCAGTCGGTGCGCTCGTCCATCTTTCAAGGTCGGTACGAGAATGGCCGACGATATCACGTCTACAAAGACGGCAAATACTTTATGCCCGAAGACGAGATCGAGCAGGAGCGAATGGACATGCAACACCACGCCATCATCACGACATTGGGACGACATTTCTTGTCTCCCGTCGAGAACCCCGGGAGAATTCTCGATCTGGGCTGTGGAACGGGTATATGGGCCATCCAGGTCGCCGATGAGAATCCCAACGCCGAGGTCTTTGGCGTCGATCTCAGTCCGATGCAACCCGGCTGGGTGCCTCCGAACGTCAAATTCGAAATCGACGACGTCGAAGACACGTGGACGTGGCCCGATGATCACTTTTCTCTGATCTTCTCGAGACTGATGATATCGGGGAGCATCCAGAACCTCGCAAAATATACCCAACAAGTCTTTCGGTTTGGCCCACCCCTTTTTTAGGTCTTTGATCTCCCCCCCCTCTCCCCTTTTTCTAACGCTTGTTCATCAGACACCTCTCCCCTGGCGGGTATTTCGAGTCTCAAGAAGTGCAGATTCGACTGGGCAACGATATCAGAAACATCCCCGAGGAAGACCCTCTGGCGCTTTGGTGCAAGTACATGAGGGACGGCATCGAGCGGATGGGCCGGTCCCTTGCTCCCGACCTGGACAACATTGGCGTCGAGATGCGCAACGCCGGCTTTGTCGACGTCGTGGTCCGCCCGTTCAAGTTGCCGCTCGGGACGTGGCCGAAAGATAAAAGACTGAAGCAAGGCGGCTCGGCGCAGCTGGTCGCCCTGTACCAAGGGTTACAGAGCATCAGTTTAGCCCTGTTTACCAGGTGTCTGGGCTGGTCGCCCGAAGAGGTCGAGGTGTTTTTGGCCCAAGTACGAAACGACATGATTGCCAAATCGAGGCAGGGGTTTTACTTTTACAGGTACGTGAAGACCATCTCTTTTCATCCCACTTGTCAAAATGGCTGACAGTACATCAGTGCAGTAGTCTATGGCCGAAAACCTCCACGAAACGAGGCGGCGGAAAGTGAAAACCCGTGATGACGAATTATACGAACAAAAACATATTTATTGTGGGAAGTGCTCGGTAGTCCACCGTGTGCTTTGCTTTACATCGCTTTTCGGTCCTGAAGCTGAATTCAACGCCGTCGCGAGATATTCCCACACGAGTCGTCGAAGTCCGCACGAGTGGTAGGCACCATGGCACCGTGGGTGTGGTGGGCACCTAGTAGACATACAGACAGACATGATAAGCTTTTCTTTCCCGGGCGTGACAACAGGAAAGAAACACCAATGAATAGTAACCACCGGCCGGAATGCATGGATGAGGGAGGCCACGGGTGGATTCGGTCCCACGTACCTACTAATCCAGGATCGCACTGGCTGCTGGCAGTGTGGACTTGGTCGCTAGATCCAGTCCGCCGCCCCCTTACGGGCTGGGCTCGAAGGCATAAGCCACGAGCGGTGATGGTGGTGCGGTGCTCAAGGGGGATAGATAGGCCGCCTTCTTCTACGCCAGACTCAAAATCGACGAAATGTCGCGTGTGTATGTCATTGTCATGGCATGTCAAAAGGGTTCCTCGAAGGCAGATTTGGGATTACAGTGTCGACGGATGTGACGAAAGAGGATGTCTCCGGATCAGGATCAGGATCATGATCATGACACTGGGAGCTGTAACGGAGTATTTCGTGTGCATTGGCCAGCACTCTCTCTCTCTCTCTCTCTCTCTCTCTCGTGTCAAAGAACCTCAATTATGGAAATTCCTTCTTGTTAGTATATGGCTCTTTGGTACAAAAACATCCCACATCCAACATCCGACGTCAGTATCCTCCCGACTTTCACGACCACCCCCACGAGTGACCATCGTCTTTTCGTCAAAAACCCCTCCAAATTCCGGCCTTTGAGGCCTTAAGGACGGACTAGTGCCATCTCTTTTTTTTGTCCAGAGACAGGCGCCGCCAGTGTCATGATCGTCTTATCTATTTCCAGCCGTTGATCTTCATGGTTCCGTTCTCCACCAGGTTCTTGTGCATGTCGAACGCGTTGAAGAGGAGGTGCGGCTCGTGGCCCATGCCCTTTCTCAGGCACTCGAACTCGGCTTTGTCAAAGTAATCCTGCAGGATGGGGCGGTACTCCGGGTGGGCGCACTGCTTGATGATCTCGCGCGCTCTTTCTCGTGGACTCATTCCTCGTACGTCCGCTAGGCCCTTTTTTTTTTTTTCAACCATTGTCAGCTTTACAAATCCAGATAGAAGTAGAGTCTGGGATAAACACTCACGATTTCGGTCACGACAACATCCAGGTCGTGCTCCGTCTGGTCGACGTGCGTGCACATTGGCACGATACAGCTCACACCGTGGGGATCGGTCTTAGAAGGTCGTGTACTTGGGGTATGCATGATGGAGTATTTGGCAGAGCGGAGAAAGTCGGCCGAACCACCCAACCCGTTGAGCATCCGCGAGCCCAGGACGCAAGTGCTGTTGGCGTGAGCATAGATGTCGACCTCGACGGGGGTGTTCATGCCAATCACACCGAGCCGGCGGATGATTTCAGGTGAGTTTGATACTTGCTGAGATCGAAGGATGAGTTTGGAGTGGTAGTTCTCCCACTGTTGACGCATTCTTAGCCCCTGATGTGTGAGAGATGTACATCTACGTGGGTGACACTTACGCCATCATAAAAGCGTTGGAATCCTCCGGGAGAGAAACGAATGGACGTCGCAGTGGCAAAGTCCAAATTGCCACTGTCAAAGAGGTCGAGGAAGGAATCCTGCAACACTTCCGTCCACACCTTCAGATTCTTAAAGTTGGCTCCTCCTTTCTGGTGAAGAGGTCAGCGGATGCGACTGCGGAGACAGTCTACTTGTGATTGGGGAAAGTATGTGCTTACAGCTAGACCGCCGATAACAGCGTTTGCAATGTTACCGATGCCAGATTGCAGAGGCAGCAGGTTCGGTGGCAACCGGCCATGTTTGACCTCATGTTCCAAGAATTCAATCAGATTGCGCGCGATGGCCGCAGAGGTTGCGTCCTCGGGGGCATTCTCGGTCGTTTGATCGGGATAATCGGATTCAACGAGAGCCACCACGCGCTCGGGGTCGACAGGGATGTGTGGTGTTCCAATGCGGTCCTCGGGGGCCATGATCAGGTATGGCTGTAAACGAGACCAGTCAGTCTTGAAGATTCAGGCACAGGGAGTGATAACATGCCTTTCTTCGTGGCGGGAGGTCTGTCATTGTAATGTCGTGCAGACCTTCAAAGCTAGGTACAGAGGTATTGAGTTCGATGATGATCTGATAAGCAAGTGATCAGCCGTCTTCACCCAGCAGGATACTGGTCATCAGCTGTGCTCCTACCTTGTCTGCCATCTGGATGATTTCCGGAGACGCCCCAACACTGGCACCAGGAATGATGCCGCCGTCCTCTGTAATGGCCGAAGCTTCGACGATGGCCACGTCCAGGCGGTTGTTGGCCTTGTGCTTGGTGTAGAAGCCGTACATCAAGTCGACCGGGAACATGCTGAGATGCTTGTCGAAGAATTTGATGTTGCCATTGTTGATGCCTTTCGCGATCTCCTTGCCAACCTGATGCGGGGCACGGCGTTCAATCATGTTGAGTCGAGCCCATCGGTTCTCGGTCTCTGCCCCAGACGAGGCACCCACAAAGAGGTTGTACTTGAGCTTGCCTTGGAGGCCATTCTTCTCGACGTGGTCGGCGAGAGCGGTTGGCACCTTTCTGTTTTACCACCAACGTGATTAGCACCAGGTTACCATGGCGGAGTGAGATAGGTAGCAGATGATGTAGGTGACGTGATGAGAAAGCGTACTTGGGGTATCCCACGCCCGTAAAGCCTGACCAACCGATATATGAACCGTGAGGGAATAGATCAATGAGATCTTCAGCCTTGGTCAATTTCTGTCATTTGCCGTCAGCCAGATTTACCCACAGAAGTCAGTCTAGGTATAGCTTCGAGGCCCGCATCATCTTCAACGAGAGGGGAAATGCAAAAGGGTTCTAAGAGCTATAGTTGGGAGTTGCTGCTCAAGCTCAACGCAAGCAACACTGGAGGTGTACGCACATTTAGATAGCTCGCTCTTCTGCATCTACTCTTCAGGAGAGCTGAGGCGGCCATTGTGAAATCGAAAAGGAAGACCCGATGAAAGCCTTGTAGCTAGACCAACAAAGGGAAATGTATACAAGGAGCCACACAAAAAGAGAAAGGTGTGTGTGAGAAAAAAAGGGAACAATGGAGGAATAAACTGGAGACTGGAGACCGGAGACAAGAAACCGGGGGAGCTTCAAATTGATGGAGGGGAGATTCGTCAAGACAGTAAATAAGGAGTGCGAAGAGGCAAGACGTCCAGGTCCCAATGAGGTAACGGACTTTGCTCGTCTATCTTCGCGGGATTTTTATATGGATGACAACAAAGGGGCGACAACGACGACCACGACCACGACAAAACAAGGCAGTCTCGTGAGGTTCGAAGGGGGAGGTTCTGGAGCTCGTGGTTGATGATAGCTTAGTCCGGGAGGAAGGCCAGCGACTAACTAATTGTAATAACCTACAATACCTAGTAGGAAGTCAAGGAGATAATAAGAGACGCAGGTTTCGTCATTGGGTCATTGGGTCTCTTGTTTGGCTCGCCAGGCGATGCTAGGCTTGTACTAGGCACTGTTAGGCTCACGAGCTCCCCGCCTCGGACTCGTCCGGATATGAGGCGGATTGGCGGGAATGCCCTGTTTGATCTGTTTGACCTGTTTGGGCTTGTCTGCGTTTCTAGCCAAGCACCAAGCACCAAGCAAGCAACGTGGCAGACCAAGGAGCTCAAACACTCGCATTGTCCATTCACTCTGTCTTGTCACTGACAGTTGGTCGTACTCAGTATGCTGCAGATATCCACCTCCAAGAGACTGTGAAATTACAGTCACATCATCCAAGACACAAATACAAGACACGCCAATTCAATCGAACCACTTGACCTCAACTCTCAAAAATCTCCCCCGAAGCATCTCCGTGTCTCTCGCCTATCACCAGCCAGCCAGAGCTACAAGTACCACACGTCAAACTTAGCCCTCGCCCCCTGGCGCCGCTCTACTCCCCACCGCTTTAAAGATCCCGAGATTTCCTCGATCGATGATGGCGTCGCCTCTCTAGTCGTTTGCCCACAAATCTGACAGTCGGGAAAAGAAAAAGAATAACACAATATTTCCTTTGATCCGTCAAGTCCAAATGTTGGTTGTTGAGCGGGTGACTTCTGCTCAACCACCAAATCCAATCCCGTGACCCAATACTCTTGCATCTATTCCGGGTAGCTGAGACCTTCCCAAAACGGGTTTCGCTTGTCGCTCTAGCCTCATTTGCAGAAGAGAGGCTCAGGAAGATGCTCATAAATGATGGCCTCCCAGGGATCATCTGGGTCAGCATCTTCGATAGGCCCCAGGCACGCCCTGTCAAAGACCTTCTCGCCCACGTTGACTCCGCCGGGCACCACGCGGATCAATTTGACCTGGGGGCAATCTGACGACGACTTCATTCTCTTTTCCAAATCCATGAAATATGCGCAACATCCCTCATGTGATAGCGCGACCAAGTTCTGCGGAAGGTCCCCTTGGGGTCTCGACCCGGCAAATATTTGCAACGAGTTCTGAAGTCGCACGGCATCAGGGGCGTTCCACACGTTCCCATAGACAAGTTTGAAATGCACCGTCCAGTGCAGGCCTCGAGCCTCCATTCTCCGGGCCACCTGACTCTGATAGAAGCTGTAGATACCGGATCTTGTGGGAAACAGTCGCGCCGACACGGCCATCCGGGCCAGAGCCAACCCCAGCGAGATCACCGTCTCGACCAACACTGCCAGACAGTAGCCGTGATCGGGGGGATGGCCCTCCTTGTCCTTGTCCACCTCGTCCTTGGATGTGCAGATTCCACAGTGGCAGGCCTTTCTGATCTTGGTCAGGTTCTCCACATACGAGGCCGAGGCATCCTCGTGTGACAATTTCAACGACCGTTCCATGCGACCTTGAAATCTGCGCAGCTCGGGGAGCCAATTGGTGATAGTTTCGATGAGACCGGCGCCGTATGACGCGGTATTGCTCTGATTTTGAACCGACACCAACTGCCCGTGATCCTCGTGTCCCTTGCCGTGCGCCAGACCCTCAAACATGCGCGCCGCGCTCCCAATCATTGTCCCAAAGGCTTTGGAGTTGTCATGATCAAGATGGTGGAAGCTCTTGCCAAAGACTCGAGGGAGCAGTGACTGCCACGCAACCCGGCCTCCAAATCTCGTGGTGTGGAGAGTGGCAGAGTATGTCCGATCGATCAGCGACAGTTCTTCGACAGCAGGTCCTGAGGGCTTCCACGGGTCGAAGGATGCTTTGATGCCAGCTTCCGGTACAAACACCAGGGTGAGTTGGGGCTCTTGATCTGGGTGCGTGACGCGGAGTTCTTTCCCGTCCTTTTGATAGACGACGATTCGCAGATCGCACAGCCACTCGGCGATAGCTGCGAACCACGATATGATGCCACTGCCGATAAGCGTGACATGCTTTGCTTCTCCCTTTGTGACGCGCATCAACGCCCGTAACGCCTCAGCGATCATGCTTGGTGGGAAGACATCATCAAGCCTCTTGACCCGCTCCATAGGATAGACGATGGGATAAGGGTCGATCTGGAGATAATCCTCGACCAGCAGCCCGAAATCCGACGTGGCGAATATGCCGTTGCAACCGTGCAGCGCAGCCTGCCACTGACTAAAATGGGGCGTCATGTCGTCGGGACCAGCAGCCGCATCAGCCATGGACATGAGGACTCTGGCCCCGTAGGGTTCATGGAAACTCTCCCCCAACGCGATCATCATGGCCAGGTGCTCGTAGGAACCCTCATGCACGGCCTGGTCGCGAATGACATTCGACAAACCCCAGCCGAAGGACAACTTCTCGCCCGGCGCGACCGAGACGTGGACGGGGAGGTTGCTGAGCGCATTGTTGATGTTTCTCTGGCCCTGGACCGAGATGTGCAGGTCTCTGAAGAGCCGGTACGCGACGTAGCGGGTGTACGGGTCGACTCGAGATCCCGAGAATTTGCGCAGTGTAGCTGAAGGGATCGAGATGGTTTGGGGGACGTCTTTGTCGATGATGGGCATTGTTGAAGAGAAGGATGGTTTTTTATTGTGAAAGGCTTGGAAGGGGTCTTTCAACGGCACAATCTCATGGTCCTTTTTCGTACACGTAACGGAAGTGAATGAGAATATATATACGGATCTACTTGCACATGTGTGAAACTACCTTCTGGAGGGGGGACAAGCAGGAAAAAAATGTTCAAAGTGACAAGTCAACCAAAGCAAAGCATGTCTTGCCGCTGCCCCCTCCATCCCACGAGACACGAGACCCTGAGATACGGAGAGATCCAGTCAACCGTGCCAACAGCTCAGCTCCAGCCCCGGATGAGGATATGGCACGGTGACTCAGCAGGCGAAAGGGCTCGACTCAGCTGCCATTCTATTGGCTGCGAACCCGAAGTGCGGGGTGTTTGTGCCGTGGGCTGATAGGGAGCTCGTCAGAAAGGAAGGGGTCGGCTTGGTTGGGTATCTGTCCTGTCGCTTGCTGCGCTGATATCATTGTTCTGTATCCAGCAGCACCATTGCGACTTTCAGTCGAAACAGCCACTGTCAATGATGCCGCGACAGGGTGGGTATCTCAAACGGGAGGGCGAGACCCAACGAGATCACGCCCCAGAACATCCTCCGTATGGAGCTAGACATGATTATTTCACTTTCTAGTCGCTAGACTTTCAAACCCTACCTGTATTGAGACGTGGCTTTCAAGGTCGATATCAGAGCGTCCCTCCACAGAAGAATGATAGACATCGACAGCCTATGTTTAATGTGTGCACGTATACATATTGACATCCACCGAAGCGACCTCAATTCAAGGGCTTCTTCCTCCCAAGGCCTAAGAATGTATTGTCAAAGTCCCAACTCGGCAGCTCCAAGCATAGCCGTGAAGCGTATGTAAATGACGCATGTTGGAATGCGGTGGCTTTTGCTTGGGCCAATTCTCCTTGCAACATCCAAGGTTTGGTATGCATCCTCTACAGCCATTCACGTTGTCTCGGGCTCTTTGTCAATTACCCTGATATCGTGGCTTGGGATTTCCACGCCTTGAGCAATCAAATCCCACCCGAAATGTCGGAAAGCGTTGAAGTCTGGCCACCAGTTGGCTTGATCAATGGACTGGCGATTGAAGCTCCCACGCCAGAGAAAGAGCTCGACGCCAACGTATTCAAAGGTGTGCACAAAGCATCCCTCCCCTTCGTCACTTGGACCGTCAAAGCTAGTGTGGATTGGTTTCCTATTGATTTGACTGGGTATTTCCTAGACCTACCAAAAGGCACAGAAGTCATCTCGACCAATCCCTCTGGCACGAGTGCGTGGGTGCAGACCGTGTGCATCGAAATCTCTCAAAAAGACGGACGGAGTCTGAAATTCTTCAAAAAGGTACGACGAGACCAAACCCGGCTGATTCCATATCGTGCCGTGGGATACCTCGTTAACGGGACACAGAATCAACGTGGCCCCTTGGGCAGGCGCATGATGGTCGGGACCTACGAGTCTGAACCAGGCCATCCACACCTATCTCCCCGCCAACGTCCCCAAACCCATCGCCTGGGGAGCATATCGGGACGATCCAGACATGTACTACTACCTCGCCGAGTTCCGGGAGATGGTGGCCGACAAAGTCCCAGACCCCGTACGGGTTGTCGATGCGGTCGTCCAGCTGTACCGCTAAAGCTCGGGCAAATCGCCAAACGGCAAATTCGGGTTTCACGTCGTCACCCATCTGGCCAACATCCCGAACAAGGCCGGATGGGGAGACACGTGAGAGAGACACTTCACCAACGTGCTGACGGCCATGATGGAGATCGAGGCACGGGCGCGCGCAGAACAATCACGACGCCGATTTTGAAGAGCTCGAGAGAAAGACGCTGGAATTGGTCGTTCCGCGACTCCTTCGACCGCTCGAAACGGGCGGTCGCAGGGTCACGCCGTGCCTGATCCACAACCGATATCTGGCCTGGGAACTGCATGCCGGATGCCATTTCGAGGGACCAGGCTGTTCTGTTCGATTCTTGCGCCATGTGGGGTCACCATGAAGCAGACCTGGGCAGTTGGAGGGCACCACGGTACCGCATGGGCAGGCCATTTATCGAGGAGTACCAACGAAGACTGGGCATGGACTTTCCCGCCGAAGACTGGGACGATAGGAATCTGTTGTATGCCATGTGAGTGGTCCCCACTCTCTCTCTCTCTCTCTCTCTCTCTCACACAGACCTTGGACGACTGGGTAACCGAGTTCTTTGCCGGGGGTAGGAGGTACGATCTTCTCATCTCAGCCTTGTTCCCCACCACGGACAGATTTCGAGGGTAGTAAGTACTTTTTTTTTTTCAGTGCCATCTCCTCAGCGCCTGACAAGATACTGATCGAGTACATGTCTATATCAGTGCAAAGGAAAGTATGAGGTACTTTGTCGAGAAATACCCTGGTGGATTTGACGCTTGGCGGGAGCCGACCGCGACGACTTGAAGTTCTATAGATGAAGGGATTTGGGTGTCCTCGGAGGCTAGATTCACGAACGGTTGTCCTTGTCTACGGAACGACGTAAAGAGGTGCCTATATCTGTACGCGAGGCCCAGGTCTTTCACAGATCTATTGGGAATGGCAGGTCTCGTGTCTGCCACACAGTATACGTCTGCTCACTCGTACAGAACTAGTTAGAAATCAACAAGTTGGTCCCACAGTGGCTCGTCAAGGGGTAAATGTCCATCATCATTCTTTGCGAGCGCCTTTCTCGAAACTGTCTGTTAACGAAACCCCAACAGACCCGCCGGAAGAAAAGAAGAATCTAAACACTGGTTGGCAGAGAGACCTCCCGTCATTCCAAGGAATGTGGGACATTTACACCAGAACGACAGCAATGTGTCTCGCAGGCTGATTGGGACTGGCAACAAGAATGCGTGTCTGTGTAACAGATCGACAGCCAACCTAAACCATAAACCAACTCCCAATTGACCTCGATATCTTGCAGTGCAGTACGTGCCTAGGAACACCCTTCTCACGGCCTCTGGGACATATCGGCCAAAACACATGTCACTAACACACCTCTAATGGCTATGATCGAGCCCAACCCAGCCGAACAGGATGCGATGCCACCGCCATACTCGACGTTCTCGCGACGACAGAAGCTGTGTATCTCGTGGCTGGCCTCCCTGTCGGCCATGTACTCTGGCCTGTCGTCCTTCATCTACTACTAATCGAGGACATAGATCGGAACACACACACAGGATTCCTCCCTCGGGACATGTGATCCACATCACACCCATGATCTCCGCCCATTGCTAGACCGCAGCTCCCGCTTCAGAGTGGTCCGCACCCGCACTCTTGTGCTCGACAATCTCGGCGGTGAGCTGGACAGTCTGGCACTGGTAATGTCTCCACTTCCGCATGGGCAGCTTGAGGGCGTACATCTCGTCGACCTCGACGACGGTGCGGGCCCTTGTCTCGGGAATGTAAAAGTAGGCCCAAATGGTCGTGATCAAGACGCAGCCGGCGAAGATGAAGGCGGCTTTGGCACCCAGGTTGCCGGCGTCGGCGGCCGTGATCTGCGGAATGGCAAACGTCGTGATGATGGCTGTCACGTACGACCAGAACATGGCCCACGTCATGGTGGGCTCGCGCAGGGTGGGCGTGGCGATTTCGGTGGGGAGAACATAGGCCCTGTGAGTTCCAAGAATGTTAGCATTGGCACTAAAAAAAAAAAAGAGTTGACGGGAGGGCGAGAGAAGTGGCATACAAAGATTGGAACGAGACGGCATTGACAAAGCCAAAGATGATAAAGACGGAGGCAAGGCCCAGTCTCTGGCTATTCGTCGTCAGTCCGGCGGCTGCTAGACCCCCAGCAGCCATGTTGAGCAGGAAGAGGAGGGAAAAGCCGACGAGGGCCACGGGTCGGCGCCCAGCCCTGTCCACCAAGGTAGGGCCAACGATGGTCCCCAGAAACTGGAGGCACGCGATGACGACGGTCATCTGGAACGGGTTTCCCACCCCGCTCTGGACGAGGATGACGGTCGAATAGGTTCCGACCAGGATCTGTCCACCCACTTGACTTGCGCTGATCAAAGCACCGGCGGTGAGGGTTCGCTTGAGGTTGGCGCGATTCAAAATGTCCCAGAACCTGGTCTGTTTCCGCATCTCGGCTTCTTCTTCAAGGGTGATCCGGTACATGGATATTTCTGCGTCGACAATGTCCGTCTTTTGGTTGCGAATAGACATAAGGATGCGTCGGGCCTCCTCGAGCTTGCCGTGTTGGAGATACCAGAGCGGCGACTCGGGGCACAGAAAGGTCAGGAAGCCAAAAGCCACGGGGCAGGCGGCTTGAACAGCCAAAGGGATCTTGTACTGCCTCTCGTCGTCGATCCTTTCGGTCGCCCACACGATGGTCGTCGCGATGATGGCCACGGCGCCCACTCCTGCTACGCAAAAGCCAACCGCTCTGCCGCGTACATGGGCAGGGACAAGTTCCGACAGGTAAAGCGGAGCCGTGGTTGTCAGAACACTGATCCCCAAATCTGAGATGTCAATTAGACTCTGTCAATACCGTTGGTAGATTCGTCGTCACTCACAATTCCAGAATCTTCCCACCGTCATGCTACTGATATTGGGGGAAAATAGTTGTAGAAACGAGCCGGGAGTGCAGAGCAGGAAGTAGGCGCCGATAAAAGTCTTCTTGCGGCCAAAGTACTTCATTGCGGGAGTGGCAAGAAAGGTACCCATGGCGGCGCCGACCAGGGGAACTGTGACAAGAACATCGAGATTGTGGGCCTATAGTTGACGCACTCGTTAGTGACGTTGCGAGGACTTGTACCAAAGACCACAAGCGTCCACGGCACCACCTACTGTAAAGGCCACCCCGTAACCCTGATATTTCTCAATCATCAAAGGCAAGCTCATTAGCGGGCTGACAAAGCTGTTGTCATAGCCGTAGAGGCCCATCGACAATCCCACGATTATCACTAGACACGCCAGGTTAGCTAGGTTCCTCTGGCCACGTCGAGTCTTGGGGGCTGCGCGAGAGCAAAGACTCACTAGACAGGACGATTCTCCAGTTCCACCAGCCTGTGGGGTGATGGATGTTGCGATCAACCACGGTCGCATCCTGAGTGGCATCCGAGACACGCTCCTCGTGCATGGTGGTTTCGTCTTTGGCTGCTAACAAACCCATTGTTGGAGAAACCAAAGTAGTCGGTGATGATGTTGGTTGGTGGTGATGCAGTAGAATATGGAAGACCTGTTTAGCAGTGCAAGTGGAATTCTGTATGTTATATGGCGTGATCGTCAGTTGTCCTCGGTCATGAGTAGCAAAGGTCTGGGAGGCGACACGACTATCCACTCCTTTCCCATGGGGAAATCCATGGAGGTCAGGGGGACCGTCTAAGAGAAGCCAGAGGATTCAAGACCAGAGAGGACCGTCGACTTCTTCCCCCATGGGGAATTGTATGGCGTGCAGTGAGCGGGCAAATATACGGGTCTGTGGAAATGTCCAATAGATGAATGGAACAAGAACCTTTGAAAACTGTGCGCAGCCTCGCCAAAGCGGTGGCGTTTGACAAATGTGTCCCTCACTAAGCCACTTGGGGAATTTGTCCAGAAACGGAATTTCCCCAAATGGATCAAATAATATATTTATCCTCTGGAACCCTCCGAGGATCGCCACCCCATGCCTCGCCCTGGCCACGAGGGACACGAGAGATTAAAAGAACCGACTTTTCCCTGCTGGGTTGGCTTCTTCTCGAAGATCCGATCGAACCATGGCCGCAGTTTCAGTTGCAGGGATAGCTGAGGCCCAGCCGCCTTCTACCCCCTTCGGGGATGCTGAAATCTCACCGGAGCTGGAACTGCTCTGTAGGCTTTAGGGGATGGAGCCGAATCCCGTGAACAAACTGCAAGCCCCAAACTTGAATTTCTTACAGGTGAGATGTCCTGGACCAACAGTCCTCGAGCAAACAAAAGGCTGACTCGAGTCTAGGAACTGGCAAAGCTGCCGGTCGATTGGACAACAGCGCCAGCTGGTACCGACGTCGAGGCTATGCGCAAGTGGATCGACAATGTTCTCTTGAAAGGACCTCTTGCCGAACATAGAGCCAAATGCAAATTCCAACGCCGACGGCCTGAAGCCAAGGTCGACATATCCGATGTATCCGTGCAGTGCTCAGATGGAAGCCAGAACAAATTCATAATACGTGTATACGAGCCCGAGCTCGGAGACAATGCCCCCAAGCAGAAGCTCAGACCTGCTATATTCATGCTCCACGGTGGTGGCTGGATCCATGGGAACCCCTGTGGCGACGATCGTGAGTCGCCACTATGAGCGCAATGTCTAAGATTTACGGCCAAGACTGACTGCAACAATAGTCATTGCGACATTCTTTGCGTCTGAGCTCGACGCTGTCATTCTCGGCGTTGATTATAGGCTTGCCCCCGAGCACCCATTTCCAGCCGCTTTAGATGACTGTTGTGAAGCCATCGCATGGGTATGTACTCGGTGTGCCCGAAAGCAAAGACGAACTGAAGGCTAATGCGAATTACCAGGCAATCCGAAACGCCGACCAATACCACATCGACACCTCGCGCATGGGTATATGGGGTGCTTCGGCAGGTGGAAATCTTGCGGCGGCTGTCAGCATCAAACATACCCAGGAGCGTTCCGTGACGGGATATCCAAGTCTGCGGTTGGCGAGCCTTGTGGTTCCTGTGACTGGACACCTGAAGGTGCTGGAAACATTCAACAAGCAACGCCCCTGTGGAAAAAGCCACAACGAGCAAGCAGTTGCGGACGTACCGTTGGCCCCGGAGCTGGTGGTCAAGGAATTCGAGAAAGTATATGGTATGTTTTCCACGTAGCATGCCGAGTCAGTGAGAAAATGACCTACTGATCGTTCCTTTTTCAAGAACTTTATCTCGGCAACGCCACCGACATATACAATCCTCTTGCATCTCCTCTGATGGTCAAAGACATCTCACAACACCCCCCAACACACGTTACAGTTGCAGCCTGCGATTTTTTGATGCCTCAAGGCCTCGCGTATGCACAGCTGCTTCGCTCATTTGGCACAAGCGTCACTGAAGAGATTCTCCCTGGTGTACCTCATGGCTTCACCTTTCCACTGAATGCTGATGTGACAAGGAAGTGGATTGAAGATCAGAGGGACGTGTTCATGACAGCTTTTGCCTGAGCAGGCTCTTGATTAATGATAAAATGGATGGAGGCGATCTTGTGATGTTTGGGTTTCGTCAAGAGAGGTCAATAAATCGATCGATAGGGTCCAGTGAATTGCCATCATAAGTCTGCTCGGCATCATTCGGTGTCGAAGGATCCCATGAATTGCTATTGGTCTCGAAGACGCGACCACTCATAGGCTCAACTTGTATCGCTGTCCGTGCCTGAGACTCCAGGCTCTGATATTCGTAGGGCGGCCGGGTATTGAGCGATGCAGGTACTGTCGAGATCAGAGGCATGACCACCTCTGCGAGTTGAGGTGCAAAGATCTTCTCATGATCCTCCTTGATGACAGCGCCAGCGAGGCCACCTAGAATGTATTGACACTGGCTTCTCCCTGCCAGGACGCGGATGTTCTGCGCAAGGCTAGACAGTTTCCCGAGACCCACGATTCGTAGTTCGCCTTCTCCCAGTAAGCAAATCCAAGACATGGCTGCAAGACCCAGGGCCTCGACCGATTTCTGTAATCTCGGAGAGATGCCGATGCCCATTTTGAGGTTGGCAACGAGCTTTGTTGAAAGTTGCCATTGCCGCGTGACAACCACGTCAGCTGCTTGTATACGGGAGTACCGATGGCGTTTGAACACTGCCCCGAACAGCGTTGCCATGTCAGCCTCAGACTCAATGTCGATTTCGTCAAACGCTTCTGCGTTTTCGGCGAGATGTATTTCAGTAAGGCGTCTCAATAAGTGCAGAGCAACTCTGTCGGATTCATCAAGGGCGCTAAGGGTGTGGGATGCCCTCAGTGGTAGGTCCACGACTTCCCGTGGTCTGCGAGCCCGCCGCCGTCGACCTTGGTTCGCGTAGATTGCCATGGTCGCAGCTTCTGTGTTGAAGAGCACCTGCTCAATTTGTGCCTTTCGGTGCCGCTCTTCTTCGTCGGCAACGCCCACCACCTCCAGGAGAGACAGCGCCTCGTCCAGGTACAGGAATGCGCGGTTGTGTTTTTCGAGGACATTGTTGGCGGTGAAAAGAAACAAAGAGACAACCACACTATCGAGAGTTGGAGGGTCGGCAAAGTCGTATTCCAAGCGTGACTTCTCAACTTGGGTAATGAGCTCCGAAAGATGTGCCGTATCTGATGGAGCCATGCGAAATTGCCCTGCTGCGTTCACTGCCCGAATGGACAAGAGTAGCGTGCGGAATTCAGGAATGGCACGCCATGCGGGTTCGATGATCAGACGTGAAGCAAGGCTTGCGTATGACAGGATCGGGAACACAACATACAGGGTGTCAAAAAACTCGTCGATAGCGTTCCAGATGTCGTCGCCCCTGTATAGTTCATCCTCTGGGAGTAACACATCTTGTATCATACATGGGTCGTCGTTGACAGCAATCGTGCCCGAGTCAGAAGTCTGAGACTCAAACGGGTAGTTTTGACCATCAGCATTAAATCTCTCACAGTCTCCATCAGGTGCGATGCCCTGGGCGAGACCGTCAAACTCGAACTCGTGCTCTGTAAGGTTTCCAGATGGTGCCGTAGGCGAGAGTTCAGATGTTCGAGAGGTTGGAGAGTTCAACCTAATCAGACTTCCAGAGTAGGGAAGGGTGCTCTCGTGGGCGTGTCTGTGTGCGGACCGTCAGAGACGTACGGTGCTCACTCGCTTTCATGCTTACCCTCGTCGCCGCCGGCCACGTTTTGCAGGCTTCTCTTCGTAAGTGCATTTCAGACCCGCCCTCAGACACTGACTGCAAGACTCGATTGTCTGGGACTTTGCGTTTCGACACTAATCGACGCCATCTTCAGAACGATGTCCAATGCAGAGTCCTGAGTTATGTACCTTGATTTTCAGCCTTCGGCAGGAGTCGCAAGCCCTCCCTGTAGCCGATGTGGCAGTAGAGTTCTGGCCGTTTCCCAACGAACGGAGTCCTTGGGTGGGAAATGAGGTAAACATTGGGCAATTGATGGATTGATTGTGGAGAGGATCAAGAGTAGCTGATGTTCTGCGCCATCGTGAGGTTCTGGTGGTGGCGATTTCATTTGTGTAGAAGGATGATTTTGTAGTGACGTGGATGCAGACATGAAAAATGTCAAGTTCAAATTCCCCGCCTCAGGTCCAGGTGGCTTGGGATACAAAACGCAATTAACACCACGCCTCCATGACCCGCCCTTTCCGAATGTTAGGTTTACGCTTTTCGAGGCCACAACCACTTGAACTGTGTAGGACACTCAAGGATGAAAAGCCAACATTTTGTCATATACAATTGGATCTCGTTGATATTTGTATTCATTCTCGAGCTTTTAGCTGTCTAATTCACTTCCACCCGACAGGATGACGATAACCCTCATACAAGAAGCACCCGGGAGCCTAATGTCGACATGGCAGTATACCAATCGGCGGAAGGGTCATCCTGGATCCCCTCACTCCGGATCTGCCAGCATGTCTTCATCACCTGAAGAGCCCTCAACCAAACACCAGGTCCTTGAGTCAAGGTGCCAGCCTTCACCGCCAAATCCTCAAACAAAGACTCTTGGTCTTTGAGTGCCATGCATCCGGTAACGCAAAAAGGCCAGAGCATGGCATGCAGCAACCGAACATCGGGTAGGACACTGAATATTTTCAGCGATCTGGAAACGGCGTCCCGAATCTCAGGAAGATAGGGATTAGGACCAGACAGAACGACTGTCAGGTAAACCAGAGCTGCACAGGCGAAGACATGAGTGACGATGGGAGTAGCCTGGACCAGCCAAGTCTCTGCTGCTCTGTCTGTGGGTCCCCTTGCCAAAAGTGAGAGGTAGCTCTCCCAGGGTTCAGCGAGACCCAGTTGTAGACGCTCCTTGAGCTCAATATATTTCTGGCAAACGTCCTCGCCTCTCCGAAGTTGTCCTTCCTGTCCTCCCCTCCTATATCCATCAAGCACTGCGATGTCCCGAATGATGACCATCACCCAGTTCTCGCAACCCATGATTTTCCGTAGTCGCACCTTGCTGTCCGAGGAGCCAAAGGCGGCTGCGCAGATGTCGGCAAATTGAGGTTTGCAGCCTGTCGAGACAGTGGCCAAGGTATCGAACCAGAGGAAAACAGCACTGAAGAATTCTACGGCCACATGATCCACAAGGGCAAGGGAGGAGTCAGTGGAGCTTGCCTGACTGATTGCTTCTTCGATCTGCTCGCCTTCGTCATACAAAGCAGAAAGACGGTGGTATGGGAAAGCCAGGCAATAAGCTTGCAGATAGGGAAACATGCCTGGAGATGCAATCATGTGCTTCTGCCAGGCATCAAGTCGGCCCCTCGAGTTCTAGAGGAAACTTGGCATTAGAAAAGAACTGTGGGCTCTGAGTATGGCGGCTGCACCGCCCCCGCCGAGACTTACTTCGAGCATGATCAAATAGACGACACAAGCGAACACTTCAATCCCATCCCGCAGGCTTTCTTGGACACTTTTCTCGCTTAAGCGGTCAATGTGTTGCCGCAAGCCAGTTACGGCTAGACCATAGAGCCGTTGCTGTTCATTTTCGCGCGGCCGCCCACGGATGGTGTCGGGACGGTGCGAGCTCGGATCGCGATAGACGAGAACCAGGGCAAGTGCTGCATAGCACAGGGGTTCACATCTCACCATCAGAGAACGGAGCCAGCCGTGGCCCCTTTCAGGAAGAGAAGCCACATAAAAGGGAAACTGGAGGGGGAAAACATGGTCGAAATACTCGTCCAGGAGTTGCTCATCCGAACGCGTCGGACGCCACGTTGGTGTCACCCCTTCAAGACTTGCTAGCAGCTTGGGCGTGCCATCCGTTGCCGTCAGAGGGTGTTTTTGTCGCAAGGCATGGAGGGCGCGTGCGCGGCGTAGACTGTCCGTTGTTGCCTTGACTCCGCTGCGAATCTCTGCCACCATCTCCTTCTCTCGTGGTCCGCCGTCCTTCCACCCGGGTTTGGGCCCATATCCATAACAGGGAATTAACAGCAGGCGGCAAACATTGCAGGTGGGCCTCTGCGCGTCGCATTTCTTCCTCCGCAGACGACAGGTCCAGCATCCCGCCATGCCGAGCGGAGTGTGATGGCTGGGTCTGGTGGGCGTTGACTGCAAGGACGTTGAGAGTTGAGACTCTTGGTTGGTCCGTTGGTTGGCTGAAAAGGGAAACTAGGACACTCTACTTCATTTGAAGATAAGGGAGGGCGCCGTTAATTAATTACCTCTACCTCAAACTCGAAAGTTTCACTAACCGTGTTTAGCAGGTCTAGCGGTGCTATTATTACCTCATCTCGTCCTTATTATAGCCTAACTGGAGAAAATAGGCACGCTAGGGTAAATATTACAGACTCCTTACGCCTTGAAACTTTCTGTACCTCCACTGAACCCCCTAATGCAACCTATCAATGTAGTTATGCTCCCGCTATTTTTCAGGCCAGACAAGGAGTTGCTCAAGTGTAATCCCAGTGTCCCTCAACACCTGCTCGAGGACCTTGTCTTTGTGCTCCTCCATGGCCTTGCTTATGCGTTTCAATCCGATCTCGTCATCCAGTACGTAATAGACTTCCTTGGCTCCGCCTTCGGTTGAGGCATCGAACGCTGCTTGGGCAACGGCCGCGGCTGGCACCCGGGGATGGTTTATGAGGCTTTTCTGGAAACATCGAACAATAGGTCCCAGGAATGACAGGATCGTTGCACTGACTTGCAGGGCAGTCGGCATAGATCCTCGCGATAGATTACTGTTGGAATTCATCCCTCCAGGGTCCAATGAAAAGATGTTGACGGAGTTGACTCCAGCCTAAGTCATAAGCCAAATGTCAGCCGTGCATGTACATGGGCTTCAAGGTTGCCAACAGGTCGTCTTACCTTCAACATCTTCTCCTTCAAGGTGTACATGGCAATATCTCCAATCAATTTACTGCTGCCGTATCTGGTCAACCCTTGCATGATCGACAAGTGCGAGCCAATAGGGTTCTTCTCGGTAGGTCCCCAGGTGTCAAAGAAGTCGGCTTTGCCCAACGTGACGGTCTCACTGGTGATGTTGATGACCTTCCCCCGAGGCTTGCCCTTTTCCATCTGAAAGGCCCCCTTCAGCAACAACGTCGTCAAAAGGAACGACGACAGCACATTCGTCTGGTATACAGGATCAAACCCGTCCTGCGTCTTCTCATCCACTATGTACGACGAATATGCGGCAGAATTGACCTGAACAGCGATTGGCGGGATGTTTCCTGACCGCACCTTTTCGGTGACTTTGGCTGCGAAGGTCTTGACCGATGCGAAGCGTCCGAGATCGAGAGTGAGGAATTCGAAGGCCGTCACGCCCTGGTTGTGGAGCTGGGTCGAGATCTTCTGGGCCTGGACATCATTGTCCCTGCGTGCGGTAAGGATGAAAAACACATCCGGATGTGCTTTTGCAATCGCAAAGGCGATCTGTGAGCCCAGGGCGCCGTTACCACCCGTGATCAAGACTGTTTTTGATACTTTGGTTGACATCGCGAGGAACGTTCACCCTTCGGTCAGGACAGGGCTAGGGCTTGGAATGGGCGCTTATTCGAATGAGGTTTCGGAGGCAAGCAGGTTGAGGAACGAAAGAATTTGCAAGGTCTGGCACGGCGAGGTTTGACAGCGTCGACGGTTCGAGCAGGTTGTGTCTGGTTGAGTATCTTTGCCAGCGTCCTGTCGTTGCTGGGCTTTTGTACTTGGTAGAAAAGGCATAATATTCGTCCGAGCAGAATCCCTTACGGGTAATGGCAATGTGCACACGGAGATTATTATAAATACAGTGGTCAATGCTATCTAGCATAAGATGAATGTGATAAGGGAAAGATGGCTTTTGTTCACTTGCTTTGAAAGACACCTGGTCGTGCTGCTCGTATGTGCTCAGAGTGGCGATATTGCCCCATTCCAATGTGATTGGGCGATTCCTCGCTTCGCCGTGCCATTGCCCGATCCAGGCATTTAAGCGACCGCGCAGGACACAAGGTTGATGACAGACGACATCCATGTCCAGTAATGACCAGGAACAGTCTTTCCTAATCCTCTGCAAGGGGGTCTTCGTGTTAATCCAGTAATCAGGCGAGCCTCATCAGCCTTTGATCTCGCTGAATCTTCCGTGTCAGATAAGAAAGAATGAGCATTTCCAAGGCTGAATACTATCCATCATTTGATCTATCTCTGTGGTACATCTACGGTGTTGACAAACTCGTACTCTTTCCTAAATATCAGATCCTCCAGTCTCTCCACTTGGGCAGGCTCAAAGTTAGCCCTCAAGCACTCTCTGGCTTCCGTCCCGAGGAGTTCTAACGTCTTACTTTGGACTTCCCTGCCAAAAGCCGGTGGCACACGGAACAGACCGTAATCAATGAGCAAAGCGACCACGTCTGCCCAGGCCTCGTCCATTTTTCCGTCAGGAAATTGCTTGCTGTATCGAGCCAAGAGGCTGATCATCTTTGCAGCCTTGTCTTCCAACCTGACCTGAGATGCCCGGCCGTAGAAATCGGTCAGAGGCTTCCGGGCGCGTTCGAGCAAAAGAGCCACAATTTCAGATGAAGGCGTTACCCTCTCCTGCTGGAATATGGGAACAGGCTCCAGCGCGAGATCGAGCAGCCTGTCCAAGTTCCCCACAAAGCTTGCGTCTAATTGTGCACGTAGGAAGCGAGTCAAGCCGAATTGGGCTGCCAACCCCAAGAAAGACCCTCTGTCCCCTTGCCAGTGCGTGAGCGGATGAACAAAGCGCCATTGACTGAACATTTTCTGGAACATGACTACTCTCGCGCAATCCCGCAAACCCCAAGGATCCCATTTTGCAATCAGCCGTTGTCGAAAGACCGTTAAAAGGCTGAATGGCACGGAACCAGATTCACGGTCATTCTGCGAGGAATATTGGAGGAAGGTTACTGCGGTGGCAATGCCGTCTTCGCCAGCCTCCGTGTGCATCGCTCGGAGGCTGTCTGTGTCTGCCAAAGCAAGAAACTCCACGAGTGAAGCATTGCACATGTACCGCGACACGTCTATGCTGCCACTGGTGTATGTGCTGAGTCGGGTGCGCAAAAGTTCGCTCTGACAGAAGAAATCGTAGACAGTACGGTGTAGAAATTCAACTTGCCAGTCAACCCATCTTGCTCTCTTAATCTCCGCTCCCATTTCGAGGAGGCCCTTGCACCTGCTGTTAAGTCGTCTCTTTGTTGAGGATATGTGCTGATGAATCGCTTGCTCCGTCAAATCGTCGTCTTCGAGATGCAACGCAAAGTCAACGTGCTCTTCCTCTGTAAACGACAAGGCTAGCACTGTCCTGTGCGCCTTTGGTAGCGCTGTCACGATCTGAAAAATCTTTCCCGCATCAGCGCGCTCCGCTGCATCTATCGATTCGACAATCTGCATGAAGAAGTCATCCAACTCGGCAGGGAGCATGTCGAGTCTTCGGAAAAGGTTTGTGATGGTTGCTCCATTTTGCAGACGCTGTAGCATATCTCGGACAACGAGGATGACCCAGAGGAAAACGCCCTGCGCCTTGTCCACAATCTGGGATTGGAAATCGTCGCATTGCGTAGGTTTGATGGCCCGTAACTCCCTAAAATGCACATCCTCCTCGAAATGATCTCGTACATAAGTGGCAACATCCTTTCTGGTCAAATCTTCGAGATTGAGGCTCGAAAACCGTTTGAGTCCTTCCCGGAAAACAGGCCACGGCCGACTTGAGACGCATATCTTTACATTGTCATGCTCCGAAGCGATGCGAGCGAACATCTTGACCAGGTTTTGCCGCTGTGATTCCGTACCTTCATATTCGTCCAGGCCATCGACCAAGATCACAAACCGAAAGGAGCCAGAAGCCAGACTGAAAAGACGAGCAATAGAAGCTGTGAGCTCTTGTTCCGACCAGTCGTCCAAATCCGCTTGTCCATAGTAGTAGGTATGCCAGCGCTCTGGGTGTGCGATTTGCATAAGCGACGGTTCCTGCTTGAGAAGCTGGTACAAGAGGACTCTAAGCATCCCCGTCAGAGATTTCTGGAGTGGTGTCCCGGCCCTCCAGAAGAAGCAACTTGCCAAAAGCAGTCTCCTCGAGCCAGCCCATTTTCGCAAGGAAGTCGTCAGTTGAGAATGCCTGGTCAAATACCGCATAAGACATGACTTCCCTGCCCCAGGCTTGCCTCTAATATAGAACAACCCCTGTTTGGGCTGGTCATTTTCCAGCCAATCTGTGAATGTTGTTTCCTTCAATGAAGACGCAAAGTCTTTGCCGAATATCCATGCAAAGGTTGATTTGTGAGCTTCAGATATCATGGCCTCCCTGTCTCCCCACTGCACAAAGTACAAGCTGATCAGCATCCTATTCTGAGCTTCCTCTGTCACTTGCTGCCTGGTGTTCTCAGCGATCCCCGTTAACTTCACAGCCAGTTCACAGCCAAAAGATGACTGCCAGTCGCCTATGGCCTTCTGAGTGGCCGAATGTTCTTCTTTAATAACTGCTTTCAGCCTGTCTAGTTGGTAGCTGATATCCTCATGGTCGCTCCTTACCGCCTTCAACAGAGCGGCTTCGGCAGTTTTGCTCGCACGAAGCAACTCTTCAAGGTCGGTGTCATGTTGGGTGCTGGAGCAAATGTTATCATTTATCACGGCCGTGCCACTCGCGAATCTCGATTCTTACCTCAGATACGCAACAAGATGGAGAGTGAGTTCGGTTTTCGCCGTTTCGAGATCTCGCGCAAGAGCACTGATTTCCCTCCCTTTGACCACCGAAGAAAATGCCTGCCGAATAGCCCCAAAACGTTCGGTGTGGAGTTTCTTTATCTTCTCAACCGCATCCACCAGGACCTTAGCGGCACGTTGGCATCGTTCATTCGCTTTCAGAATGCCAACCTCCCAACTAGCCGCATCCTGATTGCTGTTGCTGGGCGGATATTGCTGCAATCGCGCAGTCAGGTCCAAAACATCCCTCGTAAAGGTTTCAAGTGTTTCCATGTTAGGTAGGCCGCCGTTAGCCTTGATGGCACGAAATGTGCACAGGACTCGAGAACCGAAGTCGACAAACTGGAGGACGTTGCCCGCAAGACCAAGTGCAGTAATAG